CCTGCTGATCTCCAGCAAGGATTTTGTGGTCTTCACTGATGCCTCACAGAGTTGACATTGCTAAGTCACTGTCCACAACCCTGATTAGCCAAATACCAGTTCAAGCCCCATCCATGAATCTGTAAACCTAGAATAGTTTTGTTTGCTTAAATATATGCTCCGCACTTAATATTTCACAATTGGTTTCAACCTAGGATTCCAAAGGCAATGCTGGATCCTCTTTCTCCTACTAACTGGGCCTTGAACTGCCTACCAACATCATCTCTGTCTGATCTGCACTGTGCTCCAGTTTGGTGCAGTGGTTCAGAGCATGGACTCTAATCTGAGAGAACCGGGTTTGAATCCCTACTCCTCCACATGCAGCTGCTGGCATGACCTTGGGTTAGTCACAGTTCTCTCAGAGCTGTTCTGGAAAGAGCAGTTCTCGAAAGAACACTCTCAACCTCACAGGGTGTCTGTTGTGGGGAGGGGAAGGGAACGGAGATAGTAAGCTGCTCTGAGACTACTTTGTGTAGTGAAAGGTGGGGTATAAATCTCTTCTTCTTCCAATGTATTTACCCTCATTCAGTTCTTTACTGTCTCCTGACACTAGCTGAGAGGAAAAGGAGAACCAACATTGGGGTGTCATCAACATACTGATGGCTCTGCAGTCCATGCCTCCTGATTACATTGCCTAGCTTCTTCATACAAATGTTAGATATCATGGGAAACAGGCTGGAGCTCTAAGGAACTCTACAGCCCACATTTATTCCATCTGAGGCTGCCAAGGAAACTGCAGGCACTTTATTTGGAAGCTTGAAGAGCAGGGTCTCCCTGTCTGCACAACAGCCAGCCAGTTCAGCAGAAGCTGTCATTTATAAACCTACTTTCTCCCAAATACAGGGAACATTGGTAGTATAACAGATTATTCCATGTTTCCAATTATTCTGAAAACTTTTAAAATTGTAATACAATTAATAAATATACTAAATATATACCACCAAGAACTTTAGTCCCCCAGTTCTACCATTTAGAATATCTTTTCCAGGAAGGAACAGAACCACTGCAGAGCAGTACTCTTTAGGCCTGAGCCTTCAAGAGACTCCAGAAAGATACTCTGGTCCGGTCCATGATATCAACCCTATCTACCACTGAGCTACAGCATTGTCCCCTCTTCTGCAATCAGTGTTGATCTCCAAAAACTGCTTGTGGCAGTATGCCTGTAATATGTTTCTACACAGTTATGCTTACAAGAAAGTATGTTCACTCCATCACTCATGAGCATTCGATAACGTGGCAAGCCATTTCCAGTCGCAATAGCTCGGATGGTCTGGGGAGAAAACAGAAGTTCTGAGCTATAATTCCAAAGAACACTTTAGGAATCTGTGCAACAGGGACAGCTTACTTATCATCATCACAGAAGGAAAAACAACAGTGCACATTCAGGTACAAATGCCTGGTCATATGCATGCCTTCTGAAAACCTCCAATTCTCACTGACAAGATTCCTGCCAAATCACCATTTGACAAGGTTGTAGGCTTATTCCTCAAGCCTTGCCCCTTGTCTACTATTAAGCCATGAGTGACACAAAAAGAGCAACAGGTAATACTCACAATAAGTTGCAAGATAGGTGTCTCAACCTCCTCTCCTTGCATAATGGACTGTAAAGGGGAGAGGGAGAAAGAGAGAAAGTTGATATCTTTGAGCAAAGAATGTCACATTGCAGCATGAAAGTTTAGAGATTAAAAAAATATGCAGAATACAGTTTTCATTTTAAAAACAAGCAGGAGTCTTGTGTCATCCCCTCAAAGGCCCTGGCAAAAAAGCAGAACTTGCAGCCCTCCCTGAAGATCTACCTCACCTGTTCAGGAAACAGAGAGCCAAAGCCACGATGGAAAAGACCTGGGCTCTGGCTGATGCCTGATGGAGCACCCTAAACAGTGGGATAGCCACAGAGGCACAGGGACATATGAAAGGAGACGGTCCTTCAAATACAGGGTCCCAGATTAGGAAGGGCTTAAAGGTCATAACCAGCACCTTGAGCTGAACTCCGAAACAGAGTGGCAGCCAATGTAGCTGGTTCAAAATGGGCAATGTATGTTACCAGCAGCTAGCCCCTGGCAGCAGTTACACTGCCACATTCTGGACTAGCTGTAGTTTCTGGACTGTCTTCAAGGGCAGCCCTACTTAGAGCATGCTGCAGTAATACAACTGTTACAGAAGCATAGATTACTGTGGCCAGATCAGTTGAGTGTAGATATTTTATTTATAATTTAAATTTATAGACTGCCCTTCTCCAAGTACACAGAGCTCAGGGCAGTGAGCCATGGTAAAATCACTTGTACATTAATAAAACAATGTCAACAATTAAATAAAAATAAAATAGCTAAAAACATTATCAGATGAACACTGAAACATCAGAGTTCCAAACTGTCACTGTCTCATGGGAAAGGTAGAGAGGAAGCAAGATTTGGGGGGGGGGGAGAGAAGGGAGTGCCAGATAGGATGGTATCCGTTGCTGTCCTCAACCAAAAGCCTGGCAGAACATCTCTGCCTTGCAATCCCTGTGGAACTGCATTTGGTCCCACAGGGCACGGATGTTATTCAGCAGAAAGTTCCATCAGGTGGGAGCCAGGGCTCTGGTCGAGGGCCGTCTTTTGGGCTGGTGAATCACATGCAGCTGAGAGAAGGTGCTCCTAGCCATCATGCCAACCTGCTTTTCAAACAGCAAGGCAGGGTCCGTGTGCACCCCCAGCCCCTTAACCTGCTCTGAAAAAGCCAATATTTCTCCAAGGCCAAGTGGATTCAGCCCCTCTAGAATATCAGCCTTCCTTTTCAACCAGCATGACCTGAGTTTTGTCTGGACTCAGCATTTATTATACATCTTTTACTCTTCCTAATGCCTTACTACATTTTGAAATCCACCTTGGGTTTCAGCTAGATGTGAAAACCCGGAAAAAAACCCGGAAAAATTCGGGGGGGAAACGGGGGGTTTTCCTGAAGCCTTTTTTGTTTTTTCCCGAAAAATTGGAAAAACTAAAAAAAGAAAAAAAATGATTATGGAACGTTTTATTTTAACATGATGAATAAAATATTTTAAGACAAGGTGTTCAAATATCTTCCAAATAATTTCTCATATATATATATATATATAGTATCAGATTGATCTAATTTCTGTGCACTGAGGACAAGCAAGTCCTAGGTTACAAACTGAACTCTCCAATGCAAGAACAAGATGCATTTCTTCCTTTAGGAGGTGCTATTGTCACGAGAAAAGAAAAAGGTTTCAGTTTTGTTTTTGCATGTGGGCGGGTATTCTGTTTGTAATAACTGTTTGGATACACTATATTTTTAATATGCTAGTTGTGATAATTTCATGCCAAGTAAAAATGTCCATAGTCATATTTTATGTTCCTAAAGTAACAGAATGACTTTCAATCTAGAAAAGACAAAAGAAGAGCTAATGTAGCATTTTTTTTCAATTTTTCCGAAAATTTCCATTCCCCCCCCAAAAAAACCGGGGTTTTTTCCGAGTTTCAAAATTTCAGGAAATTTTACATCTCTAGTTTCAGCAAAAAAGGCAGAGTATGGCCCCGGTCACACGGAGCATTAGGCACGCTAGAGAGATGGAAGATAGCCGGATTCTCCGGGCGCGATCTCACCGCCACATCTGGGAAGCATAGAGCTCCCGTGGCTCACCCGAGGCTTCATTCCGAAGATGCGCTGTAAAAAACTAGTACCTCTGAGGTACTAGTTTCTGGAAAGCGCAGGGCAAGGGCAGGCGTCAGATCACGTTTCCGGTGTTAGCTCGTGGCTTCCAGTGCCCGCCCATGTTCCGTCGCGAAAAGGGGTTTTTTTGTCAAGTCTCCATGGGTGCGCACAAGCACCCAACGGCGCATGCGAACACTTGGGTTAAAAAAACCCAACACAACCCCGGTGGCGCCACTTCTTTGCCGTGCCGCAGGAGTGAGGTATGATTGGCACCTCCCCCCAACCACGGGGAGGTCGGCGGGACGTTTGATCCGGCTGCCACGCGGTAGTTCGCTCCGGGGCAAACAGCCACGCCTCCCCCCCGCCCGCGATATCCGGCCCGGGTGACTGGGGCCTCTAAGTAACTTGCTATATTAAAGGCACATGTGTACAACCCTTAGAGTGTACACATGTTAAAACATATACTGATAAAAATTTTAAGTATCAGACTTATAAACACTTATCAAATACTAATACATATAATGGGTAAACACTTTCCTACTGAAGACCAAACGCGTTTCGGCCCCTAAGGGCCTTCCTCAGTGGTCACAATTATCAATATAGTATAGACACACATTCATAGACCTGTATACAAGATCATTAGTGCTCATATATTTAAACCAGATGTTGTTTCCTGAGATTATAAAAAGAAGAATAGGGTTTACCCATCATATCTATTAATATTTGATAAGTGTTCATAAGTCTGATACTTAGATAAAGATTTTTATCAGTATATGTTTTAACATGTGTCCACCCTAATAAATATTTGTACTTTTATAATATACATTGTTAGCTTAGCCCTTTGGTTCGCAGTCTTATCTTGGGTTGAGTTTCCCCCCACTCTTTTTTTCCAGTTTTTGTACAACCCTTAGATACAGCCGTTCTCCTTGTGCCTACCTAGGCTTTTTTTTTTTTACAACAGGTAGATACAGCATCCCAGAACTCTTCTCTCCCTCCCGATGTGTAGCGAGAACCTGAGGGGAGCACCCCTAGGAGTAGCCACTGTGCATCATGCAGACTAAAAGCTCTTGCCAATACCATGGGGGGGGGGGGGTTCTTGGTATTTTGTGTGTGCGCACGCCTGTGCCTAGAAGTCATGGCTGACTTCTGGCGACCCCTAGTGGCGCTTGGAGGCAAGGGACGTTCAGAGAGGCGGCTTGCTTATTGCCTGACTCTGCCCTGGTATTCCTTGGAGGTTTCCCTTCCAACTCCTTGCCAAGGTCAGTCCGGGTTAGCTTCGGAGATCGACAAGACCGGGCTTGCCTGGGCTACCCAGGTCAGGGCTGGCCAATACAATTATGATCAAGCGGCAAAACCCCGCCCCCTTCCTTCCACGTGGCCCGGTGCAACCGAATAAGGTGCGAACATCCCGCCGGAGATTGACCGGAGGCGCTAATTCTGGACGGCCCGGTCATGTTAAATACACCGAAACAGATACAGAGGGGCGAGGGGGTCTTCCCTGCACCGCGCGAGTTTTCTCTTCACCAGAGAACTTTTCCTGAGGCGAAGACGCATTCCGAGTAGGAACCCGCGAGATAGGCCACAGGAGGCCCCGCAGCACCGCGACACTCCACCGTACAACCCCGCTTTCCCGTTCACGGACCCGTCCCGGGCACTAACAGGCCGCCGCCCCCGTCCCCTCAAGCTCACCGCAATCGCCCCCTCGCTCAGGCGAACCGCCATGCTGACGACGACACCTCCTCCGGCCTTTCCCGCGCGCCAAATGGCCAGGAGGCTCCGCCCCCGCGCAGCGCCGCCGTGTACGTCACACGCGCGGGAATGGAGGAGCGGGAGATCTGTCGGCCGAGGAGTGGCCTGGGCGCATGCGCGGCTCCGGTGGACGAGGCAGGCGTAAGAGCGTTCCCTGGCCCCGCGAGGAGAAGAGGTGCGGAGGGGGAGGGGCACTGGAGAAGCGCTCTGTGCATGCTCAGAAATGCTGCCGGTCATAATACTTAAAGGCCGTTTCTGCTCGGGGGTCCCGCCCTTTCTGGTGGGCGGCTGTTGGCCGGGCATTAGCTGCCGCCTTAGAGGTGGAAATGCTGTAGAGGGAGGGGGAATGCTGTGTATGTGTGTGTCGTGTCCCCAACCCGTAGCGATGCCTTCGTATAGGATTGTAGGTAGGCTTGCCAACCTCCAGGTCGGGCCTGGAGATGTCCAGGAATTACAATTGATTTCCAGGCTACAGAGATCAGTTTCCCTGGAGAAAGTTGGACCCTGTGGCATTATATACCTCGCTGAACTATCACCCCGCCCCCTCTAGGCTGCACACCGAAATCTTAGATGAAGAATACTACTGTTCTAAAAATATTCCAAACATAAATTATTTTGAATTATCACTTTGGCCTGTTCTCCCTCCCCCCACTCTTACCTAAGCACACAGCACGTTTCTGAATGACAGACAAATCCAGACTCCAATGAACTCTTGCAGGTTGATGATTCCTCCCTTGCTCTCTGGCTTGTCATGGACCTGCCTGTGGAAAAGTGGAAGTCTTATGTTAAGCAGAAATGGACTTTGCTGGATCCAGCCCTGGAGGAGAGGTTGTGCTCTGCCCTGTCACTCCAGGATCGCTTTCATTTGGTCTCGTCTTTGTTCCAGTAAGTCATACCACAAATGCAGCTGCTCTGGCTAGAAGTTGCCGAGAAGCTCCCGTGCTGTTTCTCCAGGCTCAGCGCTCCCGTGCTGTTTCTCCCCCCTAGGCCTGAGGATGAAGAGTATTTGCACCGCCTGGCCGGGAACTACTGTGTGAAAAAAGATCCTAGAATGGTGCTTCTCTATAAGGCGGAAGGGACCGAGAGATTTCGGAAGAAGGAGTACCAAATGGCAGGGATGCTCTATTCTAAGGTAAAGGCCCGGTGGGATGAGAGTGCTGCAGTCCAAGCCTCAGACAGAGGCGGGGATGCCAGCCTTGAGGTGGGACCGGAGGAATCCCCCAGAATTAAGGCTCATCTCCAGACTACAGCAATCAGTTCTCCTGGATAAAATGAATGTTCTGGAGGGTGGACTCTATGGACAACTGAGGTCCCTGTCCTCCCCAGGCTCCACCCCCAAATCTCCAGGAGTTTCCCAACCTAGATCAGACAACCCTACTCCCCATCTCCCACCAGTGGCCAGGGGGGACCTGGCAAGCCCAGACAGAGCACTTGTTTGAAGCCAAACTGATGTGAGTCACTACTGCTGTGTCTGTGGAGTTATGGGCATTAACAGAGCGTTTACTGTTTTTCATTCAGCTCCTAGCCCAGGTTTCCTGCAGTGTATTCCATCCACAGGCTTGTCCTTCATATACCGCTTGGGCGGATTGTTCACAGTAACTGTGTTACATGCTGTTGAGTTAGTTCTGACTTATGTGACGTCATCACATCGGGGACCTCGAGAGCCAGTTTGGTGTAGTGGTTAAGAAAGCGAACTCTAGTCTGGGAGAACCAGGTTTGATTCCCCACTCCTCCACTTGCAGCTGCTGGTGTGACCTTGGCTCAGTCACAAGTTCTCTCAGAGCTGTTCTCTCAAGGGCAGTCTTTGAAAGAGCTCTCTCAGCCCCACCCACCTCACAGGGTGTCTGTTGTGAGGAGGGGAAGGGAAAGGAGATTGTAAGCCGCTCTGAGACTCCAAGTGAAGGGTGGGGTATAAATCCAGTCTCTTCTTCTTCTCTTATGGTGACCCTATGAATTAATGACCTCCAGCATTTCCTATCATGAACGGCCTTGTGAACGCCTTGTGAACTGAAGGCCGTGGCTTCCCTTTTTTTGAGTCAGTCCATCTCACGTCCGGTCTTTGTCTTTTCCTAGCATTATTGTCTTTACCTCTGCATCCTGACTCCTTTCTTTGCACACTCCCCCCGCTTTCAGACTAGGATTATAAGGACTGAGGGGTCTCCATTCCTAGCAGGGGTCATTTGGGGGGGGACGTGGGGGACGCCATCCCCCCGGGTGAGGTGCGGGAGGGCGGGGCCTGGAGCTCCCTGCTGGTGCCCGCTGGAGGTCGCCGCTGGCTGTGGGGAGGACACACTTCCGGTGATGTCAGGGGGTGTGGCATATGCTAATGAGTTATGCTAATGAGTCCCCCTAGCTCTTTTTCTACGAAATGACCTATCTGACCAATGGAGCTTTAACTCTCAAAAGCTGGCCCCTCCCCCCAAAAAAATCTCATTGGTCTCTACAGTGCTACTGGACTCGAATCAAGCTTGTCTCTTCCAGTGAGTCTTGTCTTCTCACATTGTGACCAGAGCACGATAGCCTCAGTTTCGTAATTTTAGCTTCTAGAGAGAAATTGGCATTATCTAAAGCAGCTTACATCTGGTTTACCTTTCACAGCTTTCCACAAAAGCATCCTTGGAACTGTAATTTGGTGAATGCGTTGTGCTCCTTCAGAGAAGTATAATTGCCAGAGTTTCTTCCTGGGGAGCCATGCCAGTTAAATAATCTTGACATACGTTTCAATGGCTTGATTTAATCATGCCTTTGCGTCTGCTGCTTCTTAGTGCAAGTCCACCACCAGGGGTGGTACTGGCTGGAAGACTCTTTGACGAACTCTCTGGTTTTGCATGGATTGTCTGCTTCCCTGTGTCTGCGTGGATTGTGCTTTAGTTAAGATTGGCTCATTACTACGCTTCAAACTGAGCAGCTAAAAATCTAGATAAGGGGAGAGAGAGCCTCTTTTATTACCCAGCTGTACACTGAAGCTAGCTGATTTTCAGCGTTCCGTACTGCCTGAATATTTTACTCACATCATAAAATCCGGGCTATTCGTCCATCGAGATGAAATTTAGCACAGAGAACCTCCCTGGAAAGGCTACTTTGGACAAATTTAGGAGGATTCCAGGTGTGAAATGGCCGTTATAATACTTTTACAAAATCTGTTTTTGGCACACATGATCCATTTTATTTCATTTAAGGAATATATAAAATAGGGGACCCTGGCGTGCTGCCTGTGGGTGCCGTGGCACCCTCCGACACCTTTTCTGGCACCTCTCAAGTATTTTTAGAAAGTGGGTGGAGCCAGGCAGGGCTTTCGCCTAGCAAGGCTTCTGATTGGCTACTAGAAATTTGATTGGCTGTTCAGATTTTTTTCCAGTGGTGCTTTGGTTTGGCAGCAGCTGCAACCACAAGATAAGAATCTATACTGTCTTACTGAAGTTAAGATGAGGCAATCGTTTGGCGGCTGGCTCCGCCTCCTGCAGCGGCCATTTTGTTGTTGCACCCACCAGGCTGTGTCAGAATTCCAAATGTGCCCGCGGGCTCAAAACGGTTGGGGACCCCTGATGTCAGATGCCTTGGATCAGTCGCAAGTTCTCTCAGAGCTGTTCTCTCATAAGCAGTTCTCAAGAGAGCTCTCTCAGCCCCGCCTACCTCCCAGGGTGTCTGTTGTGGGGAGGGGAAAGGAAAGGAGTTTGTAAGCCACTCTGAGACTCCCTTGGGTAGTGAAGGGCGGGGTATAAATCCAATCTCCTCCTTCTGTTGAGTTTTGACGGAGATGTACTTTTTCCTGTCTTTTTTATGCTGCATAGAAATGTTGTTGCTCTTTCGCATTCTGTGAGGAGACCAGGAAAAAAAATAAAGTATTACCACCAATGCTCCCTCTAAGCTGTGGAGTCTTGTGAGCAAAACATCCTACTTTGTGAGCTACTGGCATTAAAGTTGTGAGCGAACGATTTGGCTGCTGCATAAAACAGTTTGCTCTGGAGCCATCCTTCCTGAGCTAAGACAAAAATGTGCACGCCGGAGGCTAAAAAACTGTGAACTAGCTCACGCTAACTCAGCTTAGAGGGAACACTGATTACCACTGTTAGTCCCTCCTCCTCACCATGGATGGCTCAAGTGAGAAAGGAAAGAAAGAAACGTAGGAGATTCTAATATAAAAAAACCCTTCAGATAAAGAGAAGTATTAAGGCGTATACTCTTTTGACCAGGCTCTAAAAACCATGAGAGACATAAGTTCATGAGCAGCGCAGACATAGTACAGTCAGATGTTTTGTGCTCACATAATTGAGGCTTCCTGTAGCTACAGTTTCCCTTCTTTTTGTAGATCTTCCCCCCCCCCCAAAAAAAACTGGCATTCCATAGTGTCATCCATGTGCTGATTCTCTGCCAAACTGCAGGTTTTTTATTTTGTTTATTAGCATCCACACAACTTTTGTTGTTGTTCAGTCGCACAGTCGAGTCCGACTCTTCGCGACCTCATGGACCGCATGACGCCAGGCCCTCCTGTCCTCTGTCATCCTCTTGTTCATTGCATCGATAACACTGTCTAACCATCTCATCCTTTGCCTTCCCTTCTTCTTTTACCTTCAGTCTTTCCCAGCATCAGGGTCTTCTCCAGTGAGTGCTCCCTTCTCATTTGGTGGCCAAAGTATTTGAGCTATCCACACAACACTGTCCTGTCTCAAGACTGAGCCCTACGAGGAAAGGCTAAGGGCCTTGGGAATGTTTAGTTTGGAGAAGAGGAGATTGAGAGAAGACATGATTGCTCTCTTTAAATATTTGAAAGGCTGTCATTTGGAGGAGGGCAAGGAGCTGTTCCGGTTGGCAGCAGAGGATAGGCCCCAGAGCACGGGTTTAAATTACATGCAGAAAGGTAACGGCTGGATATTAGGAAAAACGTTTTCGCAGTCAGAGTGGTTCAGAGGTGGAATCAGCTGCCTAGGGAGGTGGCAAGCTCCCCTTCACTGACAGGTTTCAAGAAGAGGCTGGACGAATATTTGTCAGAGATGCTTTAGGTTGGTCCTGCATCAGGCAGGGGGTTGGACTAGATGGTCTCTGTAGCACCTGCCAACTCTATGATTCTGTGATTCTGTGTAATCATCCTGCTTTCAGGCTTTCCCTGTCCTTGGGAAACTCTCTCAAACCTGCTTTGGCATAACCTTTCTAGAAATAAGTACAGTCCAAGTGTATTAGCAAGCTGTCTGGGTGGGGCAAGGGCATGTTTCAAAAGCCCCGCCCACGCTGATGCCCTGTTCCTTCAGTCAGCCCTTTTGGCTGCCATTTTCCCCACTGCACCACAAAGGGGCTTTGTACAACAAACAAGGCTAGAGGCTTACTGAGAAAAAAAGAAAGCTGGGGATTCAAAGGAACGATTAGATTGTGGCAACAGAGTGTTATGCGTTACGATGGAGTAGCAATGACCTGTTTTAAAGAAAAACCTTCCAGGAGATGCAGGGGAAATGGCAGCTGACGATGCCAGGGAAACGGAATGTGTGGATGCAGCTTATGTCACTAATTTTGATGTGAAGCCAAAATCTTAATAACCATTTACACATCATTGGCCGCAGTGACATCCCCCCCCCCCCCCGGTGGCAGAAAACGGGGGCTACCGCAGCACGGAGCCGAAGCTGTAACGGCGTGAAAGTGAAGCTGGCAGCCTGCATGTCTGTGGTTTCTGGCATGTGAGTGCACTGCTAAGTGCTAAGTGCCGGGAGTCTTCTCTTCAGCTAAAGGTTTTTGGATTGCAGAATAAGAAAGCAGTTTGAAGGGCATCGGCCACCTTTTGTTGTAGATGATGGGAAATCGACCAAGGCTGAGTATAGAAAGCAGTTGAGTGTTTGGTTTGGTTCAGGCTCATCCTCAGTCATTATTTCATGGCAGGACAGAATTATTCTTGAGTGGGGAGGGAGGCGCAGCAGCTGCTGCTTTGCCTGCTCAAACCCGCTGCAGCCGGTGGGGCCAGGCACGCCTGACAGGGTAGGACAGGGGCCTGAGAAGGAGGGGCTTGCCCCAAACCAGCGAAGGGATGCATGGCCCAGCTGAGCTTTGAGCCAGGAGTTTCACAGCTGTGCTGACGCTTGACTCATCTTTCTGATCCTAACAGGCATTGTCCCACACAGAGGTCAGCACTCCCGAGAGGGCAGTGTGTTACGCCAACCACTCAGCGGCCCTTTTTCACCTGGACCAGTTTGAGGTGAGCTGGAAGACACTTGCCCAGGAAAGAAGAATGTGCTTGCTTTTTCTGCATGGCCTGACAGACTTTGACACCACAGTCTGCTCTCTGCTTCTAAAGTCCACAGCAGGACAAAATGTCTCCCCTGGCCTGGGTTTGATTCCCCACTCCTCCACTTGCACCTGCTGGATGACCTTGGGCAAGCCATAGTTCTGTCAGAGCTGTCCTTGAAAAAGAGCAGTTTCTGTCAGAGCTCTCTCGGCCCCACCTACCTCACAGGGTGTCTGTTGTGAGGAGGGGAAGGGAAAGGAGTTTGTAAGCCGCTCTGAGACTCCTTCGGGTAGTGAAGGGCGGGGTATAAATCCAATCTCCTCTTCTTCTTCCTCTTCCTCCTCCTCCTCCTGCAGAAAGGAACGTGCCCTCATGGGACAGCCTGGGGGAGATGCTCATCACTTGCAGGCATTGCCTCTGCAATATTTGCAAAACACCTCTCAGGCAGACCACCCCCCATATCGCAGGTGGAGGGGTGCAGCTGCAGGAACAGTGGCTTTCCTTGGGTGTATGCTGCCAAGGCACATACTGAATCATACCTCTTAAGTACTGTGCTGCGACAGCTCTTCACAACGAAACAGGAGGAGAGGCAGTGCAGGTGCTATTGTGACTTTCCAATTGATTTCGTAAGCCCGTTTAATAATAACTCTGTGTCATCAAGTTGCAACCCACTCATAGTGACCCCAGGGCCAGGGGGCTTTCTAGGCAAGAGATGAACGAAGGTGGTTTGCCATTGAATTCCACCCCACAGCAACCCTGGTCTCTCTTGGTGTTCTCCCACCCAAGTACTGACCGTGGCCCACCTTGCTTAGCTCCTAAGCTCTGACGAGATCAGGCTAGGCTGGGCTGTGAGATTAGTTTCAGGAAGGCTTTCATCCCAGTGAATAAGCAGAAGGTTTTGCTTACGTCCTGCTGCACAAGGTGCTCCATTGCTGGTAAGGATTTCTGTCCTGTCTGTATGCAGAGAGGGCTGGTGTTGGCTGTGGGCTGCTCAGGAGCAAGGATGCACTCAACAACCGGTGGCTGGGGTCTGCTGGCCAAGGCAGCTCCAAGGACTGGGTCACGTTCCAGGGAACTGAATCAAAGCTTTAGGCTGTCTTAAGCCGCTCATACAGACTGGTTGAACCAGCATGGCTCCCAGCGCAGTCTGAGGCTTAAGTATCCTGAAAGCTCTGCCCAGTCCTGCCAGGAGTTCATGGGGCTCTGATCCTGCAGAGAATTGGAGCAGGGATCTCCTTTGGCGGCTGCAGCAGGGGTCACAGGCCTGGCACTTGTTCGTTGTTGGGCTGTTTCCTTGCAGGCCTCTTGTCTTTGCTGTTCCCGTTGGGGGTGGGGAGAACTGGGGGGGGGGCAGTGGTCCAGGGTAGATACCTGTCAGACCTGGGGATGGGAAGTTGGCAGCGTCTCCTCTTGTAGAGGCTTCAGAAGCAGAGGCCTCAGGCCCCTTGCCTGAGGTCTTGGAATCCAGGGGGTTGGGGGAGGGGAATGTTCCCTCTAAGCTGTGGAGTCTTGTGAGCAAAAATTCTGCTTTGTGAGCTACTGGCATTAAAAGTTGTGAGCGAGCGATCTGGCTACTGCATAAATTAGTTTGCTCTGGAGCCCTCCTTCCTGAGCTAAGACAGAAATGTGTGGGCCCAGAGGCTAAAAAACTGTGAGCTAGCTCACACTAACTCAGCTTAGAGGGAACACTTAGTCTAGTGATGCTAGTGGTAACCTACTGAACCTCAGTGGTGGTTCCAGCTCCTCCAGCTCCTCTTTGAATGGACAGTCCATTCCTGCGTCTGAATGCATCCCAGGAGGGGTCTTGACAGCTTCTGTGTTTGGGTGGCCACTTCGCCCAAAATGCAGGTAATAAATAGTCCTCACGGTACTTTCTTCTGACGGGGATGCTAGGAAATGAGGGTAAAGGGGAGAGTTTGTCCTTAGCCTATAGATCATCATGTAATCACATCACAGCATTCAGACACAACAAGACCGTTTCCCAGCACTGTTTTTCCTTTTTGCAGGTGTGTCTGGAAGACATTGGGAGGGCTCTGGCAGAGGGCTACCCGCGGAGATTACGCCCCAAGGTCTTGCTGCGGAAAGCAGAATGCCTCCTTTCTCTAGGGAGGTCCCAGGAAGCGGCTGAAGCGCTCTGCGGTTTGGAGGGCGAAATGTCTGCAGATCAGAGTCTGACAGCTGACGGCCACCAGGGGCTGCTCAGTAAACTCAGGCAGCTGAAAGCAAAAGCCTGCCAGGGCAACAGCTTTGTCCGTCAGCCCACCGTGCCCAGCGGAGCCCGGGAGGCCCTTGAACCGTGGGAGGAAAACAACAGGATTTTGTGCGCCTCCGCAGCAGTGAGCTTGAGAGTCTCCCCAGGCAGAGGGCGCCACTTGGCTGCTGCCAGGGCTATTCTGCCTGGGGAAGTCTTAGTGAGGGAGGAGGCCTTTGTCAGCGTGCTGCGCCCAGGAGAAAGCTTCTTGCTCCGCGGCAGCGCTGAGACAATGGCGGGTGAGCGGCTTGACAACGAAGATCTTCACTGCCACCGTTGCCTGAGGCGGTTGCTGGCTTCCGTTCCTTGCCAGGGCTGCAGTTATGCCAAGTACTGCAGCCAGATGTGTGCGCAGCTGGCGTGGGAGAATTACCACCGGAGAGAATGCTCAGTGGGGGGACTTCTTCTCACACTGGGAGTTTTCTGCCACGTGGCCTTTCGAGCTGTTCTAGTAGCCAGCTTTGCAGAGATTCATGCTTTAGTTGGGCAGTCACACGGCGAGAACTCAGGGGAGGCTAATGTTGCCAAAGGCTCCGCTTCGAAGGAACAGGACTTGGCCTCCGTGCCTGGTTGCGACGCTGACGGGCAGTACCACAGCTCCTATCGAGCCGTCTTCAGCCTTCTGTCCCACACTGAGAAGCAGAGTCCGGAGTTCCTTTTCCTCTGCAGCCTGAGCGTAGCGGCCTTGTGCAAGAGACTCGGAGAGTCCAGCCTGGAAGCCCTGGTTTGGGCATCTGAGCGCCAGGAAGGAGCAACGCCTGCTGAGGCATCTCCTGAGCTGAAGATCCTGGGGGAGGCCATGCTGAAGCATATGTTGCAGCTAAGGTGCAATGCGCAGGCTGTGACCACGCTGCGCGAGTCAGGTCAGTGCTTGGTTCTCTTGAGCAGGTGGGGGCACGCTGTGATACAGAAGGAGGAACTGACAGTGGCTCTGAAGCATTCTTAACAGCCCTGCAGACTCTGCCGGCTCTCTCACAGCCCTGAAACCATTATTGCTTCCACCTCCCTCCAGGGTCTGGAGATAAACTGGTTGCTAGCAGTGAGCAGGTGCGCTTGGCTGTGGCACTCTTCCCTGTGGTCAGCCTACTGAACCATTCCTGTGACCCAAACACCAGCGTGACTTTCAGCAGAACCACCGCCGAGATCAGGGCTTTGCAGCCAATCGCCAAAGGGCAAGAGATCCTCCACTGCTACGGTAAGTAACTGTCATCGTCTTTCCTGGAAGGAAGCGGGTAGCGGAATGCTTGAGAGCTGTGTGCTGTTGGGCGGAGTCAAGGGATGCAGCAGGGCAGATCTTTGGCTTCGGCTTTCATGGTCTTTAATTTTCTGCCCACTCCTTTATTGAAAATGGGGTACAGGGCCTCAGTCCTGTGGATTGGCCCCGTTAGTTTCCGTGCTGAGCCCTGAAGATGCTGGGAAGAAGACTGAAACGTTCCTTTCAAATTCCTGTATATAAGCCAGCCCTTATGATATGATATGGAGCTGTGGTGGCTCAAGTGGTTAAGACGCTGAACTGCAGGCTGTGGAAGGTCAGTAGTTCAGCAGTTCAAGACCCAGGTGCCACATGATGGAGTGAGCTTCCATCTCTAGTTCCAGCTCCTGCCAACCTAGCAGTTCGAAAGCAAGAAATTGCAAGTAGATAAATAGGTACCACTTCGGTGGGAAGGAAACAGCGTTCCGTGCACCTTGGTGTTTAGTCATGCCGGCCACATGACCACGGAAACGTCTTCGGACAGCGCTGGCTCTTCGGCTTGGAAATGGAGATGAGCACCGCAACCCTAGAGTCGGAGTCGACTGGCTTTCGAGCAAGGGAACTTTTACCTTTACCTTGTGATATGGGCAGTCAGGAATTTGAAAACAGTTTCCCAGCAGTCCTTTTCATGATTTATATCTGACTTGCTCAATTTCCATCCCATCTTTAAAACTACTGAACTGGATTTTTATCTGACTTCTGTCATTTATAATCTTCGTTTCAAACCAGTTCAAGAGCCCAACTAAATGGGAAAGTGGGATAGAAATATTTAAGTAGATATCAGTACCGTATTTCTGGCCAACCTGGGTTTTCCCCCCCCAGCCGTAGGAATGTGCAGATCAAAACTATGAGTGTGCACAAAACCTCAGGTTGTATCCGGACTAAATTTTCTGCTAACAGAAGGGGTGGTATAATTTCCACCAGTTAACTGCTTCCTGCTGCAGACTCCCAGTTTGCCTCTCCTTCCATTCCTGAGGGGCCCCTGTTCCCCAGGAACAGCACTTTGGGGGGGATCCTTGGGTTGCAGTGGGAGGGCACAAGGCAGGAAACCTCTGTTCCACTAGTGGAAGGGTCCTCCTTTAGCAGACAACATAGCTTAGATCCAACCCTTAAGCAGCAGTTGATGGACCAGTGGTCTGACTCAGCACAAGGCTGCTTCGTGTGTTTGTTTTTTATCCCACCATTCTTCCAGAAAGGATGCAAAAGAAGCCAACCCTGCAGAATGGTAATGGGCTGCTATATGTGGTATTGCAATCTAACTTCCCCAGAGCTATTTTACGGCATTTAAGAACATAAGAAGAGTCCTGCTGGATCAGACCAGTGGTCCATCTAGTCCAGCATCTTGGCTCATACAGTATCCATCCCATTCCTCTGTATGGCCAACAACAGGGCACGAAGGCCAAGGCTTTCCCCTGATGTTGCCTCCTGGCTCTGGGATTCGGATGTTTATTGCCTCTGAACATGGAGGTTCCCCTCAGTCACCATGGCTAGTAGCCACTGACAGACTTATCCTCCATGAATCTATCTAATCCCCTTTTAATAAGAACATAAGAAACTTAAGTTTAAAATCGATTCAGGTGGGGTAGCCGTGTTGCTCTGAAGCAGCAGAACAAAGTTGGAGTCAGTGGCACCCTTAAGACCAGCCAGTTTGGTGTAGTGGTTAAGTGCGCGGACTCTAATCTGGGAGAACCGGGTTTGATTCCCCATTCCTCCACTTGCAGCTGCTGGATGACATTGGGCAAGCCATAGTCAGAGCTGTTCTTGAAAGAACACAGGCCCGTAGCTAATGTGGGGCCTGTGGGGCCTGGCCCCCTAGCATTTCTTCTGGGCCCCCTCTCTCCCAGGCCAGTCCCAAATTGAATTAATGTGATTGACTTTTATTTAATTAGCTGAGACCCCCTCCAGGCCCCCTCCCCCAATAATCGCTAGCTACGGGGCTGTAAGAACAGTTCTTGAAAAATCTCTCTCAGCCCCACCTACCTCACAGGGTGTCTGTTGTGGGGAGGGGAAGGGAAAGGAGTTTGTAAACTGCTCTGAGACTCCGAGTGAAGGGCGGAGGATAAATCCAATCTCTTCTTCTCTTCTTCTTCTTATGATTAAAGGTATAAGCTTTTGTGTGAATAAAACTGTGTTGGTCTTAAAGGTGCCTAACTTTAAAATGTAAGTGTCAATTAAATTGCACTGCTATATTTTAGAAAGTGGACATCCCTCCTGAATTATGGTGGGCAATTGAAAAAGCACTGGAGTTGCTAATCCGAGGAAGCTAGGAGGACAGAAAGCAGCAACCTGTTTTGAGATGTTTGTACAAGCCCTCCCCGGGTTGTTGCTCCTCTTGGCTCCGTAGTACCCTTTGGCCTTTTGTGTTGTTGTTGTTCTCTTGTGGCAGGACCTCACAAGTGCAGAATGGGAGCTGCTGAAAGACACAAAGAGCTCCTTGCACAGTATTTCTTCAGTTGTCAGTGCCAGGCCTGCCTGAGTGAGCTGGGATCCAGTCCTGAGAAGGGAGTGTCCAAGCACAGTGTCTTCCGTTGCCCTACCTGCCAGGCACCGCTGCAGGTAAAATTATATCCTCCTGGAACCTTGCTGAGGCATTGCAGCGTGGGTGATGCTTTCCAGAGAAGGGGCTGGGGAAATCCTTTGCCCATTGTTCACATCCTATACTAGCCCCTTGCTTGGAAACCTCCTAGTATTCCTTTGCCCCCCCCCCAACTTTATTTATTTATTTATTATTTAGATTTATATCCCACCTTGCCTGCCATGCACTTTGATCCCTTCTCTCAGAACGCCATCATTTTTTGCATAATTTAAATTTGCTATGTAAGCCGCCCTGAGTTCTACGGGGGAGGGCGGGATATAAATTTAATAAATAAATAAATAATTTAAAGATTTGGTGCATGCGTTAGTAATAAATATACTATTCAGCGGCTTTACAAGCGTACAGTTGTTTCCCATGCAGGCTCAGCTTGTGGTTCGTATGCATCATGTTTTGCATTTATTTATTTGCGTCCCACTTTCCTGCCCAGTTTGGACTCAAAGCAGCTTAGAACATTGTTCTTTCCTCCTCCACTTTCTCACAGCGAAAACCCTGTGAGGGAGCCAGGGTGAGAGTTTGCAGTGAGTCCGTGGTAACCCAGTGAGCTTCTATGGCAGAAGTGAGGATTCAAACCCAGGTCTCCCAGGATCCTAGTCTGACACTCTGTCCATTACGCCATGCCAGGTTAAGACACTGAACTGCAGACCGGGAGGTCTGTCGTTCAGCAGTTCGAGACCCTGGTGCCGCGTGACGGAGTCAGCTCCCGTCTCTAGTTCCAGCTCCCGCCAACCTAGCAGTTCGAAAGCAAGAAATTGCAAGTAGATAAATAGGTACCGCTTCGGTGGGAAGGTAACAGCGTTTCATGCGCCTTGGCGTTTAGTCATGCCGGCCACGTGATCAAGGAAATGTCTTCAGACAGCGCTGGCTCTTCGGCTTGGAAACGGAGATGAGCACCACCCCCTAGAGTTGGATTCGACTGGCTTTCGAGCAAGGGAAACCTTTACCTTTACCTAGCTCTCATGGGGCAAGGTGTGGGTAGCTCTGATGGAAGGAAAAGTTGCTGTGAAGGAGAAAATCATAAGTAGTCATGCTGATCTGTTAAGGAAAACAAAACCCTAGTGGCTCCAGCAGTGCAATTACCTTTTGTTAGCTCCAACTAAACTGTCACATGAGAGTGAGCAAAGCTGTGAGTTCTGCAGAGTTTTTCTTTTCTGCAAAGAGATCCTGTCTTGTTTGGCATGAGATAGGCTGGAGGCGACCTTTCCCCTTTGTGGCACTGTCTGTCAGGTTATAGTCTCCCTTCTAGCATTGCGTGGTTAGGAATGGGACTGCCTGGGCTTGGGGAGGCACGGTATAATGGGGACCAAATGGGGAGCAGGCAGTACAAGAGGCTACGGTGAGACCAACAGCAGCCCTAGCGGACTGGAACCATTTTCAGTGTTCCTTTCTCAGGGCCGACTGTTAATTTGGAATATTTTGATGCAGGGAGAGACATGAAGCCTTCCCTGTCCAGGCCTACAGTTTGGGCATGCATCCAGAGGGAGTGGTTAGAAATGTGTGCTTCGGCTGGTTTGCAAACTTTGCCCTTTTTGAGAGTAGAATGATGGAGCAAACAACATATTCTTTCCAGTCAAGTTGTTAACTGGGGCTAACTACGTGGGTCGTATTGTGCCAGCTCTTTGTCAGCCTTATTGGCCACCAGTTTGTTCCGTGGCACAATTCAGAGGGGTGGTTTTAACTGTTGACAGTCCTGAACATTTCAGCCCCAGGATAATGAAGAGATCATTTACACATTTTGTCAGTATTCATGAGCAACAGGGCCTTCTCAAAAGTGGCACCGAGAATCCCCCTCAAGGGAATTCATGTCCCTGCTTCTCAAAGATACCACAATGCCATTTCTCATTTGAATAAAAACATACTGGCAAGTTTCACTGGTTAAGCGATTTCTGCCTGTGTAGCTGCATTCTTCTTAGTTTTAATTGTCTAGGCTGAATTTTCTGCTACTGTTTAATATTTTTCTTTTCATTTACAGTTCTTGGTTTTAATTGTTCTCAGTGGTTATTTGTTGGCCACCTTAAGGGACTGTTTTCAGTCGAAGGGTGGAATGTAAATATTTCTGTAACAAATGCATTATGGGCAGGGAAGTAAGCCTGTTAACAAGCTGTGTGGGCGCATGTGCGGCACTGATTGTCAAGTGGTCTTCTCCAGGGGGAGGGCATGCTCCGATGTTCTCGTGAGGCCTGCAAAGTACTGATCCCTGAAGATCACTTGCAGTGTGAGTTGTTGCAACTCCAGCTACTAACCAAGACGGCCCTGGAGATGCTTGAAAACAGCCAGCCAGGTAAGAGTCACAGGGGATGCTGCTCCCTGTTGATCTGCTTTTAGATGAGTCACAAGAATCTTCATGAGGTCCTCTGGGTGACAGTATTGGCCTTCCCAACGATGCTCCCTCTAAGCTGTGGAGTCTTATGAGCAAAAATTCTACTTTGTGAGCTACCGGCATTAAAGTTGTGAGCAAGCGATTCAGCTGCTGCATGAATCAGCTTGCTCTGGAGCCGTCCTTCCTGAGCTAAGACAAAAATGTGTCAGCTGGAGGCTAAAAGGCTGTGAGCTAGCTCATGCTGACTCAGCTTAGAGGGAACTCTGCTTCCCAAGATGCATACACTTCACTGTAATGAGTGGCTTGAAGGTCAGCTGAACAGGCAGGAGTGTGAAGTTTCAAGACACTTGGCAGGGCAGCTGTGATCCAGGAAGCCCTAGATTCAAATCTTCCTCTTGCCGTGAAGGTTTCCTTAGTCTAGCCCTGTCTCAGCCATCACCTTGTCATCAGTATGCAGGGATTAGTCACAACCTGCTTTATAAGGATGTTGTAAGGATTGCTATATTGCCTCTCAATAAAGGGAGGGGGTCTGCCCACTTACATGCTGAGATAATGGTTTGTGAAGCCCTTCATGTGCACGAGTCCTTTCTAAACAGTAATAATGATCATTGCTAGATGAAGGGGGTGCTGCGTTATGAAATCGGACAGTCTTCCTGATACATAACCCAGTGCACTATACACATACCTCAACTCTGCTCCCTTGGTTTGGTTTAGTGGTTAAATGTAGCCAATTTGGTGTAGTGGTTAAGTGTGTGGACTCTAATCTGGGAGGACCGGGTTTGATTCCCCACTCCTCCACTTGCACCTGGCTGGATGACCTTGGGCAAGCCGTGGTTCTGATAAGAGCTGTTCTTGAAAAAGAGCCGTTTCTGTCAGAGTTCTTTCAGCCCCACCTACCTCACAGGGTGTCTGTTGTGGGGAGGGGAAGGGAAAGGAGTTTGTAAGCTGCTCTGAGACTCCCTTGAGTAGTGAAGGGTGGGGTATAAATCCAATCTCTTCTCTTTCTAAGGCTGCGGTCACACACACTAAATAATTCACTTTCAGTCCACTTTCCAACTGGATTTTGCCAGTTCACACAGTAAAATCCAGTTAGAAAGTGCACTGAAAGTGGATTGAAAGTGGATTATTTAGTGTGTGTGACCACAGCCTAGAAGTCCCAGTGAACTCAAGCATCTGCTATGCTGCCACGTGTCCGGTAAGCTGCATCATATTCAGCCTCGTTTGTATCTGATCTGTAAATGCAGCACTCACCTACTAGACTGCTGTGCAAGAACAGAGGGCAAAGACTCTTGGTGATGGAGAGGAAGGAACAAAAGCGGAACTCAGATTCACTGTCTGTGTTGCAGCAGAAAGGGAAACTGTCTGGGACGGACATTCACTTTGTGTTTTTTGCATTGGCAGATCGGTCGGTGAAGCTGCTGCTGAGATGCAGGTCAGAAGCTCAAAGACTCCTCTGTCCGGAGCACTTGATCGTGGGCGAGATGGAGGACCACTTGGCACAAGCATATGTGACCCTGGGTAAATGCCGGGCTAGAGCTTGACATGGCAGGTTCTGAGTATATTCTGCCTTCCAAGCCCCCAGGCCTGCTTTAAATACATCTCGGGTTATTTTAAAAAAAGACATGCACAACCTTGCTGGATCAGACCAATCAGTTTCATGGGTGACCTCGAGTTTCTACTGTGAGAAGAACCAGCATGGTGTAGTGGTTAAGAGCGGCGGACTCTGATCTGGAGAACCAGGTTTGATTCCCCACTCCTCCCCATAAAGCCAGCTGAGTGACCTTGGGTTGGTAATGGTTCTCTCAGAACTCTCTCAGCCCCACCTTCCTCGCAAGTTGCCTAATGTGGGGAGAGGAAGAGAAGGCAATTCTAAGCCACTTTGAGACTCCTTAAGGTATAGAAAAGCAAGGTATAAAAACCTCCTCTTGAGAGCCAGTGTGGGGTACTGGTTAAGAGTGACGGACTCTAATCTGGGGGACTGGGTTTGATTCCCCACTCCTCCACATGAAGCCAGTGGGCTGGGTGACCTTGGGCTAGTCACAGTTCTCTCAGAACTCTCTCAGCTCTACCTCACTTCACAAGATACCTGTTGTGGGGAGAGGAAGGGAATGTGGTTGTAAGCTGCTTCGAGACTCCTTAAGGGAGAGAAAAGCCGGGGTATAAAAGCCTACTCTTCTTATATGAGAAGAGGGAGAGAAAATCCTCCTGTGCACTCTCTCCATCCTATGCCCCCCTCTTTTTTTTCTTGATAACTTTACAGTTATCAAGAGAGCCCGTTTGGTGTAGTGGTTAAGTGCGCGGATTCTAATCTGGGAGAACCAGGTTTGATTCCCCACTTGCACCTGGCTGGATGACCATG